TGGTTCCCTTATGTTAAAGTACTCCCAGAAAACTGATACTCTCTTCACAAGGACTGATTTATAGTTGCTTGTTAGAACTGAGTTCTGTAGTGATACAACTGTGTGCGAGCTCTGGAGTAAAATTGTGAACTTCATCTTAATAACATACGTTAGGTTATTAAGAATGAGACTAGGTGGAGGACAAGTTGGTAAGTCGCCGTATCGGTCGTACCAGGACTATGAAAAAAAGTATGGAGATCATGTTGATCCTGTTGCTGGTAAAAATGCAGAGAATGCCGAGAGGGCTAAATTTATTAAAAAGTACCCTCATGCTGACATGAATAGGTTTAAGTTTGAAGCAAAGGCTACTAGTAGTGGCGATATAGGTGTTGTTACATGGTTTGTGGATTTAGACGGTATATGTTCGTATGATATTAGGTATGACGGTTTTAAGAAGGATAAGGAGTTTACATCTTATCTCACAGGTACTAAGAAAATTATTATTCCCACACAGTTTATACCTATGGTTGTTTTGAAACAACCTCCTCTAGAAAATACTGGTGGTAGGTGGCCATATATGTGGTCATCTGGGAGGGGAAGTGGATACAAAGTAAATCCTGATGACACAATTGATGGTCTAAGTTACTTTCCTCAGGTAAGATAGCCTAAGGATGTCAACAATTTTAAGGTGTATGTTGATGCTACAAACTTTTTTACTACTACTGGTGGTGCAGGTGGATCCCTTCTTCCAAGTGTGGCAAGCTTTATTACCATTAAGAATGTTGATGTAAAATTCGACTATAAAAAGCCATACTTTGCTGCACTCTGTGGAGCTTACATTGCAACGCATCTTAGTGGGATTACCACCGATCATATGACTTTTACTGATGAAACATATCTTGTTATCACTAGTGTCATGAATTTTCATGTTTATTACACTATCAGGAAATTTGTGTATAACTCAGAAAGGATAAAACCTTATTTGATTAAGTTGGGTCCTGTGAAGAGTCACATTCCTACTGTTGGTAAGTGGGAGAGTAAAACTGATACTTATAGGGTTACTTATGATAATGGACTCGAGTATGAAAAAGCAAGTTGGCTTAGGAAGAGAGGTAGTGATAGTAATCCAGTTAGAAATGTGGTCGCATCCCTATAAATTCAGTTAATGGGTTCCTGGTGAAGATAAAAATTAGTTACGAGGAAAGGGTTTCGGTAAGTTTGGTAAGTAAGTCTGACTATAGAAGGTTTATTGCTGTTAATAATTTAGTTGTTCCTAAAAAGATTACAGAAACTGGGCTACTTCTGTTAAACGAGTCAGTGCAGGCGTTCTCATATTCCGTACTAGGGGCACAAGCATCAACAAGAACTCCAATTGTCGGTGAGTTGGGAAAATCATTTTCTACCCAGGTAAAGTTCGGTAATATTGTTCACGATTGTGTTGTACAAGCAGATCCCGTTGTAACTCTGTCTAATATGAGAAAGGCTATTGAAGACACCAATGTTATACTTAATACTGCCATTACACCTGGAATAGTTCTGGTTCCATCCAGTCTGATTATTCTAAAGGAACCTATTACTGGATATAACAATGTACTTGTAAATGCTACCTTTGATATGAAACGTGGTGTTAACGCAAAGCTTAATTATGTTGGTGTTAAAAAAGCTGATCCTCCAAAGAAGCAACATCAGGATACAACACCTGTTAATCACCTTGATACTCTTAGTGGATACGTAAAACAACAGACTACACCAAGAGCAAACAACTCCTTTCGTAAAACTATGGTTAACAGTAATAATTCTTCAGAAGTTAGCGCTATTGCTGGGGCTGGAATTGGTGCTACAGTTGTATTTATTATAATGAAAATGTTCTTGTAAACATTATGTATGTTATAAAATTGCTCTCTATAGGGGATACAACAAAGGAGTAAATAAAGTTGACCCATCAAGTGGTAGTGTGTTTGATAAGGATGGATTTACCATGAAGGGTGACATTGAGATGGATGGTAATGAGGTGAAGGGTTTAGGTGCACCTACAGATGATACGTCTGCGGTCACAAAAAAGTGGGTGGATGATGAGATTATAAAAAGAGCTGCTCTTACAATTCAACCAGCAGGGTTTACAATGACTGGGGATATCAACATGGGAGGTAATAAGATAACTAATCTTGATAATCCTACTAATCCAGGTGATGCTGCTAGTAAGAGTTGGGTCGAAGGTAGTCGTGCAAGTTTACCAGGTCTTACTCTTACAAATGATCTTAATATGTCAACCAATGAAATAAAGGCTTTAGGTGATCCTTCTACAGGTAAATCTGCTGTTAATAAGGATTGGGTAGTTGGAATGTTAAATAAACCTGTAACTGGACTTGATATTGCTGGTAATATTGAAATGAAGAACCATGAGATTAAAAATCTTAAGGACCCCACTGAGGATCAGTCTGCTGTTACAAAAAAGTGGTTTAGTTCAAGCGCTAGAAACTTTCTTAGGTTGTCTGGAGGTAACCACCAGATTGTCCTCGGTAGTGTTATATTTGATGAAGTCCCACTACTGCGTAGGGATACCACAATTTCAACCAGTCTTATAAGGAAGGCTCAACTAGATAGTATCCTTAGCTATTATGTTAATCGTAACGGTATAAGTGCAATGACAGGTGGTCTTAAGATGGGCGGACATGAAATAGTAAATCTTAAGGATCCAACTACTGATCAGTCTGCTGTTACAAAAAAAGTGGGCCACTGATAACAACTTTGTTAACAAGGGAGGTCGTATGCTGGCTGATATATCAATGGCTGGATACAGACTTTTCGGACTACCTGACCCAAGGATTGATAATGAAGCCGTTCCAAAAAAGTGGTTTACTAACTTTATATCAAATGAGCGTAAACAAAGGAAAACTCAGGCAGGGCTTACATTAACAGACAGCATTGATATGAGAAATAATGAGATAGTAAAGTTAGGTGATCCAACAACTGGTAATTCTGCTGTTAACAAAAAGTGGGTAGAAGATAAGATTAGCGATGGTAGAAAAAAGCGTGAGACTTACAGTGGACTTACCCTATCTGATGACCTTGACATGAATAACAATGAAATAATAAAGTTAGGTGCTCCTACTACTGATAATTCAGCAGTGTCCAAAAAATGGGTCACCGATCATGTTAGTGGAAGTTCTACCAGTAGTAGCGGATTTACTATGAGTGGTAATATTGACATGGGAGGTTATAGTATCACGGGTCTTAGTAGTGGATTAGCTGGGGACGCAGCTGCAGTTTCCTATAAGGCTATGAGCTCCTGGTGTAAACAGTTCCTGAAGCGTGGTGGTGATGTTTTATCGGGCAATCTTGATGTTAACGATTATGAGTTAACTAGGGTAGGCAATCCTACAACTGACGGTTCAGCTGTTAATAAAAGGTGGGCAACTGATGAGTTCATGAGTAGTAGAGGTGGACTGGTAAAGGGTGATTTGGATATGGGAGATTCAAGTGGTATTCTCGATCTAAAGGATCCGGTAAATGACAAAGATGCTGTTAACAAACAGTGGGTAGAAAGGAATTTCCTAAAGCCCTCCTCGGGACTTGTACAAGTAGTGGCCGATAAGAGATACGTAAGAATAAACCGTCACATTTACGCAGAGTGGATTTGTGGTTATCGTGGCGTATCAGTTGCAGCAACAAGGTACTATGCTTACTGTCACGATCAAATTCCACCTTCATGGAGAACAGATACTATTAATAATATGACAGACCTCAACCTTGAGTCAATTACTATTAAATCAGATTTCCCACCTTTTTCAACTGTTCTAAATATACCACTAGCTCTAATCCTGTGGGCTACTGTATGGGAAAAACAATCTAATGGAAAATTTACACAGGTAAGGAAGGAAATCGCTCTGAGAACAATAGACTTAAGAAGACTATCACACACTTGGTTCAACGGTACTTACACAACTACTGGTGGAAGTACAGCTTGCTACGTTTTCAAGGGTAATAGTATGTTCTATTTAGGAAATCAGGTTGAGCTGGTATACAATACGCTGGCCTGGTGTATTATAGTTAAACCTGAACACTCAATGCCCACTGGATCGAGTATGGACATGTCCTTCTGCTGGTCACTTCGATATTCTGGGTCGGGTGCTTAACATTTGTTGTACTATAAGGTATAATGTCAAAATGGCGGTCATGTTTCTCATGTATTGGTAAAATATGTGGCTGTCGTAAGAGGTCTAATAGAACTGGGAAGTCTGGTGACATAAATTTCTCTGTATCCAATGATATTAAGGTTGAGGTGACCACACAGGGTAAAAAGGATAATGTTAATAATGTATCCGAACCACAAATGCTCCCAATCCTGCGTACCCTCGAGGAATAAATTAAGTATATAAATCTAAAATTAATTCGGTTAAAAACTGTTGGTCTAGAAAGTTCATGAAAACGTGAACGAAAAACTAGTGGTCTAGAACCGGCAGTTCCTATACTACTTAGAAAACCATTTATGCGATAACTCCGCTTATTTAAGTCGCGTCTTATGTAAGTCGCGACTTATTTTGTTCTGTACAAATGGCCCTATTATGTTAGCTCTCCTCTTACTTCAACATCAAGCTACCCGATACCGGATTCGTTTTTTATCAACATCGAATTTAACGGTTCCACGAATATCTTACACTTTAATTTGCGATTGTATGACAAAATAATACGAAAACTGTTAAAGGGGGAAATTTTGTGGGCATACGTCATCCTTGAAGGCGCCTGCCTTGTATAATGTTCGTTCAAAATTTCCGTCAACAAAACCCTTTCAACATTTAATAGGTTCACTGCAAATAAACCTTGTACTTTTGACTCAAAAACCTTAAACTAATAATACACCTGCAGTACGACTCAAAGTTTTGAGTAAAATTACACAAATAATGACCAAATTCATTCATCTTTTTTGTGTAAACTCAAAATTTTACTACTAAAAATATCGAGCAAACTTGAAACTTTACTGAAAATAAATTTGAGTGAGTATTGTTACTCAAAATATTGATATGGTATCCAGTTTTTACCCCCATTCATCCGACTGTAATAAAAAAATGTATTAAAAAGTTGCTTATTATCCTTCCTGTGTATTTTCAGCAAATAACACAGAAATTCCATGGAAACAATCGTCGGCGAAGCATAGATCTAAACTGTCAAAACTTGCTGAAATTTTGAAAACTGAACCGTGGAAAGCAAGGAGTTTTGGAGCATACCACGTGTGCTTGGATGAAGAATTTTGCATCGGGGAGGGAAGTGACGGAACGTGTGTTTATGTCGGGTTATCGGATGATGGCTATGAAGCTGCCGTAAAGCATTTGAATCTGAGGAAAGGTCAGGAAATTGGTGACAATGAGGAACTAATCTTGAATTCTCCAAACGTGCAAAATGAAAAACACATTGTCAACTATCGCTACCACCATAAAGTCAATTCTAAAGAACATTTCATAATTTTGGATTTACATGAAGAGAGCTTGCGAGATTATGTTCTTGATGACGCACACCCTGTCGAACAGTTAAGAAAGGAAGGTCCAAGAATAATACGTCAAATACTGTATGGTGTCGAAGCACTTCATTGCGGCAAGACGGAAATACTCCATCGGGATTTGAAACCGCAGAATGTACTTGTGAGCCTCGAAGGTGAGATGTTGCTTTCTGATTTTGGCATTAGTCGAACACTACCACCAAACCAAACCACGTACAGGAGCGGCGTAAGCGGAACTGAAGGATGGATGGCTGTGGAATCACTTCCGAAAAAAAATGATGACAGCGATTCCTTATCTAATGCCGATATCCAAGTTCCTTATAAGAAACAATCTGACATTCAGGTTGTAGGAATGCTATGCTACTATGTCTTAACCAAAGGAAAACATCCGTACGGTCAACGAATGCTTCGAAATTACAATATATCACAAGGAGAATTCGATTTGAAGGATTTAAATGACCCGTGTGCAAAAGATCTTATTTCATGGATGCTCCAACATGATCCTTCCGAACGACCTAACGTCCACCAATGCCTGAAACATCCATACCTTCGAACGGCAGAAGAAAATTTTAATTTAATTGTAAGTGTTGGTAACGAGAGAGAAATTAAAACCAGGCTTGCGACATCAATTGTTGTTCAAGAACTAAATAAGTTGCCAGTTCTTACCAACTGGTTATCAACGATTGATGCTTGCTTGATGAATTATATGACCGCAGGTCGATCTCGGTATACAAAGAACGCAGCAGATCTTTTGAGATTCATTCGAAATACGGCAGTCCATTGGCACGACAAGACGCCACCTGCGCATGTCCAGAACACCGTCGTTCAACCACAAGAGTATTTTGAAAGGAAATTTCCAACTCTTGCTGTTGAACTACATCGAATCATCAGAGGAAATTTTGATTGGGCAACGAAGGAAAATCTTATCAAATATTTTTAAAACTGTGTCAGTTTACCCTGCAAGTGGCCTAGGCAATTTGACTGATCATGTTACGGGAACGTGACTCAAATTTCAATCAAAGTGGAACACATTCTAGTCAAAAAATTGAAGTCAAATGATCCAAACATTGTTGTGAAGTCTGGTGGTCGTGTCACGAGGCACAATTCAATTAAAAATATTTTAACTAACGTTCCTAGAGTAAAACATTTAACTTTTCAAAATAGCTATTATAATGGAGCTTCTAGAACATATAATTGCGTGTCATCATGTATCGGTGACGTCATCATTGGCTAATTCAAATCATACTTGTTGAAAAATTATTACGAAATGACTGAAGTTATATATGACATTAATAACCACAATCATTCAAAACTGTCTGTGTTAAATGTTACACGTGTCCTCCTTTGTCGACCCTTGTAGATATAATGTGTTATAATTGATGTAAATGTTTAGTTTAAGGGTTCATGTGAATGGGGCAATAAGCCCTGTAGAATTAGCCCTGTATGGATCACCAGTCATTTATGACAAAGCTCGTCAACAAATAAATGAATAAATTTCGCTGAAAGTGACAGCTAAGACAGATTAGCACCTTCCAGAGGAGGAGTGAGGACTATACCGGCATGCAACGCGGTCAGACGCGGTTTTTTACATATTATCGATTTCTCGCTCTGCGCCGTCATTGTTCGGTCGGCTTTCGTTGTGTTTACACCTCGAGGTTTCGAGAGATTCAGATTTCTGATTTATAGAAAAAAATTGTAAAATGGTGAATTTTTGCACTGTGCATCGAAAGAAAGCTTCGTTTTTGGGTGGACACGAGCTTCTGTTTGTTCACTGTGTGTCAAAACAGCCTTTAATCTTGATTCCGGAAGGATTACCGTGTGATGAACTAGTTGAATGTCGTGAGGTTCATGTTTATAGTTGAAATTGTTCGCTGTCATTGCGGTAGTCCTGCACTGGTACAAATTCACTCTAGTTGTGTTTTTAAGGTAAGATGATTATATAAAATAGAAATATAAAAATGCTCTCATCTCATACTGTATTATACTACAAAATTATATATTAAAGTGCAGTCATCTATGTCTATCATGTGATTGATATATTTCACTTAAAATTGTTGTAATACAGCAGTACTAAACGTATTTTTATTTCATATCATGTCGTTCTTCGACCCTAATGGTCCACGGGAAGGAGGTATAAACAAAGAATATAACAATGTTATGTTGTGGGAGTTCGGACATTTCAACATCACCAACATCCCAAGCAATCCCACCATGTGACCCAGATAGTCAAGATGGTGAGCTGGATAGTGTACTTCCACCAATAAAATTACATCAGCCAACTGATGGTAACTGTTTTAATTTACCAATAAATCCTGTTTGCCCTGACAGACATTCATACACACCGAATGATGGAAGAAGCGCCCAGTAGTAGCGCTTGTTGTAGAGAATGAAATGGAGGAAATTCAGCACTATCGCAACACTATATATAAATGTATTGACTACTGTGTGATGCATTGCAAGGATTATACTGTTCAACCAGTTATCTATGCTCAAATGATCTACCAGTTGTCCTTTATTTTACTCTGCCTAACGCCAGATTATTTTACTGTCTAACACTAGACTATTTACTCATCAGGGGGAGAGTGCTGCCACTCAATGGGTTAAAAAACATTCAAACACAATGTTTGGCAGAAGCTGCAAATTTGTTTATTGGTGTCTAGTGTGATACTTTTATTTGTAAGGATAGAGCTGGGGAGCTTCTAGTGGTACAGTCTTGGCCCTACCCGGTTTTCCTGTACGGCCGTGTTTTCCTCACTTCCCTCAGTTCTACCATAAGAATTGTATCCCATGGACACCACCTTATCAGTTCTGCAGTTTTTTGACACACTACCGTAAACCTCCAACTATAAGCCCGGGCTTATATTCTTTCGTAAGCAATTTTTGATGGGCTTACACAAGGGGGGGGGGGCTTATATACAGGGGGGTATATTTAGAGGTTTATGGTGGTATGGTTTTCATGATTTTCAGTGTATATAGCTCATCACAAATTAATAAAAAGATCACACACTACATAATTGATGTTGATAAAATTTATTTATTTTAAAATCAAAAAAATATTAACATAATATTATTGTACTTAAAGGATAGGAAACTACAAAACAAACAGCAAAAGTGAGAGGGGCAATGTCAGTGACAGCACAATTAGACAACAACAACAAAGAAACTCATGGATTTTTACCAGGATTTTGGGCATGCTTCTCCAGGAAATTTGTTCACTATAGCTTTTCTGAAATGCCACTCCCAGCATTGAAAAATATCATTGGCGTACAGGTGGACAGAAATTGCCCGACATTGTCATGAATTTATCAATTTGATAGATGAACAAGAGGTATAAAATAGAAGGAACATAACTCCTATACAGGCTTGCAGCAATACTGTTTAAAGTAAATCTTAAAACAATTGCCCAATTTTTAAAGCAAAATTCTGCCCAACCCCAGCCTCGTACGCCTATGGACAGAAATTCTCACAAGCAAAAACATGCAGTATAAAAATACAATGTTACTGTTACTATAATAATAACTTTTAGCCTCCCCCATTAACATCTCATTGTCTCATTAACCCATTGAGTGGCAGCTCACTCTCCACTTGACAAGTAAAATCGTCTGGCGTTAGACAGAGTAAAATACTAAAGCGATTCGTACAATAGTTTCCTTCGCGCCATGATGATTTAATATCACGCGATGTATTCCCGCCATCGGCGAAGGAATATAGCAAAAGTACCCCATTTTCAAACCGCGATTACTAGTCAATTTCGTCGAGCTACTTTGAGTTTTAAAGTACTAATTGAAAGAACAAACTTTCCTTAATTCGATGACGTGTTTTATTTTAATTTCCCCTCAAAAAATGAATATAGCTTCTGCATTTTTTGAAAGCCACTTTTGTGGCGTGCCCACTGACCCGAATCAAGCATAATTACAAGGCGTAATTAACATAACTAAAAAACAATTCCTGTACCAAACAAGTCAAAAATAGTTTAATTAGGTTCTTAAATAATACAAATATAAAAACATACCTTTGAAAAAACGAGATATACGGAGCCAAAATCGCAATGTATTTCAACAACTTTTCGCCAAATGTTCGTTGAAAATCGTAATTGTGAATAATAATGAGATGCAATGCATTGTGGGAAGACCCTCATTCCTCCTCTGAGCACCTTCTATAGGACGATACAAAAATGAGCGCAAAATTTCTATTTCCGGTACCAGTACTAGTAGTGAGTACTACTTATATTGCTAGTGTTCTTTATTTTCGATACACCCAAACTTCGAATGTCGGTTCAGGCAAAAATTTTCACTTCTTTATAATATAACGCCATATAATATATCCCGCTTTATCATCAGTGCCAGCATCTGTTTTTTGCACGGCATGGAATTTTTTGTGTTTTTTTTTATTATGTAAATATTGTTTTCAGCAGTCTTTCATCAATGACCAAGCGACAAACCACTTTTTCTTGACATCGAATGGTGTAGTTAATCCAACCACTAACTTTTATTTTGTCAACCATGCACTTTTGCAATTGATTGTTATCTTATACAACTCCAACTTTACACAAGCACGTTTACGATAAATATTACGTTTAAAAATTAAGTGGCGTTTGTGAGAACATTACGCAAAATTCTTTATAATTCACATGAAAAGTGTAGTAAGATTCGAAAATATTATTCCGCACGATTGTATTGCGTGATTTGAGCATGTTCTTTCGTTCATTCTATTAAATGTGAATATATGATTCGGAAAAAGTAATCTGCCCGCACCGAATTTTTTCGCTGCTACTGATGATAAACCGGGATATTTCTTAACCTGACCTAATCCTGAAGAATCTGTGAATTAACAACGGCATAAAAAATGCGATAAATATTTTCTATATGTGACATGGCGTGCTACATTTTTTAAACATTTTTATGAACGTCAAGCTGTTCAACTACACAAATTGAAGAGTAGCTGGGGTGATAACGTCGGGGTGTAATTATGCATGAAATACATTTCTTTGACATCTTTATGAAACTTGATTGGGAACCGAGAAATTCATAAAACAGCAAAAATAACTTTTAGCCTAATTATCTAATTATAACTATGTTAGAAATGTTATTATATTAATTTTGAAATCATGCGCGATCTTGGACGTGTACATTTCAAAAATCATAATTTAAGACTGTTCAAACCGTCTTTGTTCCAAGGAAGGCATTGATGCCATATTCAAAACTGTTTCGTAATCTGAAATATCGGTAATACTTCAGATTACGAGGATAGTAGTAATATAGAGGGCGATCGGGCCGGATTTTTGTGGTGGTGGAGGTGGTGGAGTGTGGTGAAGGAGTGAGGAGGAGGTGTGAGGAGGAATGAGGGTGCGTAATGACGTCACTCATTAATATACGTCATAATTATATGCAATGACGTCACGCGGGCGAGTTTAAACAAGATTGGTTGAAACTTGCTGACTAAGCATTTTTTTAGCGTCCCACACATGTGTGATACAATAGAGGGATTAATCTTGGTTTATTATGAACTTTTATACAAGTGTCTGTATAAAATCGACAAGTGTCTTGTAGCAGGCATAGTTCTGTATTTGTTCCACATCAGTCATGGCGTGTCTACACGGTAAAACCACATCTTACAATTTATTGGAAGAAATTTTTGCGAATGCAGTCGCACAAGAAGTTGAAAGACTTTGTGTGGAATCCTGTAATGGTTGTCAAATCGGTCATCCTGGTCAAAGGCAACATGACTGCCTCATGATGAACGAAAACGAACGATGGCAAATGTATGGTTTACAAGCGATCGAACGAGTGAATGGTAAGCGTATGGTTTGGAATGAATTCGCTGAGGTAATGAGGGTACTAAAACTGGCGGTTGATAGAGATGTACTCGAACATTTACAGAAACTGGAAAAAGATCCAGATTCTACGTTTGTCGATTCATTGATGGAACTACATCAGAACA